GCGTCGCCATAGCAACGAAACGCGCGGAATGCGTGGAACGCGGATTAATGTTTCACGTTCCATCGTTTCAGGCACAGCTGCGATTGTCAGCTGTTCAATATGGAACGATAGCAAAGTGCAGTCACTTGTAGGAGTCGGTCAACGTCGGACACAGCCAGCCAGCCAGCCAGCCAGTCAACCAGTAGTCAAACGAGCGGGTTCTCGTACTACCGTATGCGAGAGTGAGTGTGAGCTGGAGAGACAGAGATAGACAGACAGTGAAAGAGAATAAGGACCACGCCGTGCAAACGGCCGTAGAAGAAAGAGAGAGCGTTCGCGTACGCGCGCCACTCGTACGATTTATGCGAGATCCCACGCCAGATCAACCTGGATGTATTAACGCAGGGGCTAAAATACAGCATATCAGGACTAATGAACCTCGCAACAAATCAGGCGTCCGACACGACGTCCGACACGCAGAGTAATGGTCCGTACTTTGTTAACTTCAATCAGGACTGCACGTAAGTTTGTCGCCGTTCGTATCTAGCAATCTCTGTACTGGTGTCCCATCCCGCAACGCATTTTCATTTGTCTCTACCTTTATCTCTCCCTTAACCTCCGCGAGCCTCGCCCGCCGTTTCCGTTTCGATCGTTTCGATCGTTTCCACGCGTCGTTGACGCGTGTCCGCGTTTTTTTTTTCTTCTTCATTAATCTGTCGATATAACGCGCATGACTCGCGCCTCGCAGTCAAGCTATACGCGTCGCGCGATTTCGCGCTCCATGTTTTCCTCGCGCCAATGTTTTTGTTGTCTGCGTCATATGTTGCTTCCCCTTTCGCCTATTTAATTGCGCGTTAACGAGAGATCAATGTTCTCTTTACGTCACATTACGCTCCATTGTGCGGTAACGTGCGTTACGTGCGTTACGTGCGTTACGAATAAAAATAAAATATTCGTCGTCCATCTGGCCTTTCTACTCACGTTGCTTTATCCAAGGACCTCACCTCGTTCCTCGTTCCTGATCCTCATACGATTGCGCATTGTTCGCGGCAGCTCCGTTATTTTTTATTTCACATATACGATACTCGCGCGCACGAGCAATGATAAACGAGCAAAAAGATAAACAAACAAAGAACATATACGAATCGCGCGAATTTATGTTTTTAATACGTTTGTGTCACAGCTCTTTAAATAAAAAAGATTGTTTATACAAAAAACTATATTTTTTTCTAATAAAAAACTTGATTATTTTTCAGATCTTTGGCGGTAGGATCAAAGTCAGGATATAAACTTTATTCTATCAGTTCTACTGGCCATCTTGAAAAAATATACGAAAATGGTAATAATTTGTTTTTCTATATTCTATCAATATATGTCATAAAAATTTTATGAATGCGCGGCTTTAATGTTTTTTGAAAAGAAATTTCTTATATTATTAATTAGTGTCTTTTCATTTCTTTTTTGAGATGATACAGAATTTGAGGATATATGTATTGTTGAGCGATTATTTAGCAGCAGTTTGGTGGCAATTGTTAGTCTTAAATCTCCTCGTACGCTGACAGTATGCCACTTTAGGAAAGGAACAGAAATATGCAACTACAGTTACTCAAATACGATTTTGGCTGTGAAACTCAACAGAGCGGTAAGTTATCAAAAGTTATGTTTGCATTAGCAAGCTAATATCACACATACTTGCATTTACAAACATAAAAAGTTATAACTCAAAAACAAATTTATATTTGGCATATATATTTATATGAATCTTTTGCTACTTAGATCTTGTCTATATAATGTTCATATACATAATACTCCTCATATTAAAAAAGAACACTTTGTATGTTCAAAAATTCAATCTGGTATAATATTTTGTTGTGAAGTAAATAAGCTTTGCGACTGTAAAGTAATATGTGTTTAATGTTTTGTCATAATTATGAATATATAAAAAATAATATTGTTAATTTCAGAGATTGGTGGTATGTCTGGAAGAATCGTTATACATTCATAATATACGAGATATGAAAGTGCTGCACACAATTCGTGATACTCCACCTAATCTTACAGGCCTTTGTACCCTTTCGCCAAATAGTGACAATTGTTATTTAGCTTATCCAGGCTCGAATACGATCGGAGAAGTGCAAATATTTGATGCAATCCATCTTGTACGTATCTTAATTAAATCTGATAATTTAATGGAAATTTTAATGTATTAGAATTAGGTATTAATACAATTTTTTTACATGTATGTAGCAAGCCAAAACAATGATACCCGCACATGATAGTCCATTGGCAGCAATCGCTTTTAGTTCGACTGGCACCAAAGTGGCAACAGCCTCTGAGAAGGGCACTGTGATTAGAGTTTTTGATGTAAAATAAATTTTAAATATAATATTGTATATGACCACATTATTTCTTTAATCATTGTTAATAATTACTAACATTGTGTGTTTCTGTTTTTACAGGTTCATGAAGGTACAAAATTATTCGAATTTCGACGTGGAGTTAAAAGATGCGTCACGATAAATAGTCTTTCTTTTAGTATGGATTCTATGTGGCTTTGTTGTTCTAGTAATACAGAAACTGTGCATATATTCAAATTGGAGGAACCAAAGGAAACGTAAGTGTCGTTGATGGCATATCTATCTCTTTTGCGATATAAATATCGTTTCATTATAAAAAAATGTCACTTACATTTATAGGCCAAATAAACAAACTGCAGAGGAAGCACAAACCTGGATGGGATTTTTTACGAAGGCTGTGACAGCGTCAGCTACGTATTTGCCGTCGCAAGTGACTGATGTTTTTACTCAAGGACGTGCTTTCGCTAGCGTTCATCTACCGTTTCAAGGATTAAAAAATGTCTGTGCCATCACTGTGTGAGTATTTGAAAATTCGTGTGTTATTTTAAATTTGTATATATTGCATGTTAAATCCATTTTATATATATATATATATATATTATCATATCGTCATATATTTATTCCGTTTATGTTTTAGAACACACAAAGTACCAAAACTGTTAGTAGCTAGTGCCGATGGTTACTTGTATGTCTACTCTGTAGATTTAACGGAAAGTGGATGTTGTGCCCTTATAAAACAACATAGGTTCGTAAAATTATCATTATAATAATATATCATTATAGTAATATATCATTATACTTTCAATTAAATCGACTCTTGCGAAAGCGAGCGTTTGTGTAGCCTACTAATAATGTTATCATTTTGAAAGTTCTTGCAAAACATAATATGACAATTTGAAAAAAAGAATTTAATATCTAAAATCATTTTTAACGGAAAACTTTTTTCGATTTGATATGAAAATTAATACAACATGATTCTTCATTTTTATGTTACGCATAATGATTATTTTGTGAAGTTCCACTATAATAGCTATAAATTTCACACTCGTAAGATTAAAGCCTGAATTTATATTGCAATAATGATAATCGTGATTTTTAACTCTCAAATAAGGAATATTAATATATTGATGTGAACTAAAATATAGATATCTTATTTGCACTTTTCACAGATTAGATGATAAGGATCGAGGTGAGTCAGATTGTGGTGGTTCCAGTTCTGGAGCAGCAGCTACTGCAAATAGTACAAATACAGGTATGAAGAGACACTATTGGACTGTTAGTTTTAAAGTAGATTAGTTGAAGCGAGTTGACGATAAAGATACATTACCGACAGTTAATTTGACAGATAAAAGAAGTATATAATGCAAAACTTTTCTTTCTCGTATATCCAGTATAAAACGCTTGAATGTGTATAGAGTTTCTGTCGTCTATCTTATTTAAAGTTGCAATTTTGTGATAAGTTTTGCAATTATTCACTAACAGAATATAGTAAATATCTTCTCTGTTCAAGGCATATCACACATACATAACACACGCACATACAGTTGGTACTGGCAGATACATGAATATTTTATGCCATAAAACTATAATAAATGTATCAAATCATATACACAATACATCTGATTGAACATAAGTAAAAAGAAAAATATTGTTTCTTTCATTCACAGATAGTAATTAAAAATAATCTGTTGATAGCAAAAATTCAATAAAAATATATGTATTTGCACTTTCTTTTTTTAAATATTTAATTAAAATAGTATAAAAATCAAATAATATATAATGAAATAGTATTCAACAAAATGCAAAGATATAAGCTCATTAGAATAAAATAATATAATTGAATTCAAGAAATAGCATATAAGAGCCAGCACAGTAGATAAAGTGCGTACTCTACTATAAGTAAAAAATATGTATACATGTATATTAATAGATTTTTTTACTTATAATAGAGTATGCGCTTTAATTACTGCACGGGTAATTAAAGCTTATATGCTATTTCTTGAATATAATTGAAATATTATTAATGTAAATATTTTTACAAAAGCTTCCATGTAATTCTGCTATATATATTTTATCGCGTAATATAGACAAATTGTTACTTCATGTATTTCTAGATTCTAGAGATTTCGCTGTTGCATCTCTTTGTTAAAATTGATTCAGTAGGAAAAAAAACGCTTATATTGTTGGCTATGTACCATACGTGTATATTTGTGTGCGTGTGTATGCGTGTGCGCGAACTACGCGTTCCGGACGTCTTTACTTTTTTTTATAATTTGCTTTACACATATCT